ATAGGAAATTTAAAATTATGCCTGGATAGCCTGAGAAAATGAGAAACACCACAGAATGCTCATTTTGAAGATCAGCAAAACTCCCATGTTCACAGAAGCAGGCTCATTACCTGCAGATGGGATTTCGTAACAGAGGGTGCCCATTTCATTGCTTCTTGCAGAATCATCCCACAGCGTGCGGCAAAATCCTTGACTATACTCTAGAATGAGAGAGCATCAAGACAATCAGTGAAACACAGGACATTTTACAAGAGGCACTGGTTTTAATGGTGTAACAAGTAATGTGGGGAGTAGGTTGCAGTAACACGATCCAGTTCAAGTTTTCTGTTATAAACTACCCTTGACAAGCAAAGAACTGACTCCAGTACAATAATAAGATTCAGAAAGACAAATACCAAGTGTCATATTTTATTGCAAAAAAAGGAACTAGCGAAGGATTCAAAAAAGACCATTTAGAATAGCTCACTAATTTATCTCCAAGACATAATCAGGCATTATTCTGGTCTTTGATAAATCAAGGAGGACCACTTACCTCTCTGGCTTCATGTGTGTCAGGGACAGTTATTCTATATGGAGCATCAGGAATGTCATAGTATGGTTGGTCCTTGTGAATGTCCTAAACAAAAGCATTTATCAACTCTCAGTAAGATAAAATTCATCACTTCACTTGAACACTACAGGAAGCACTCTCCCCCAAGCAGGAAGCCTGACTTACCAAACCTTTTTGCTAATATTTGCTCTCAAAGTCAATTTGAACAGCTCTAACAAACTGCCTGTGTTGCAGTTTGGTTTCTAGTACAGGTCATTTTAAAAATCCAAAGCCCTCTTCAACATTTAGTACAAAAATAAAACTCTATAAAGCATTTCCATCTAAAAAATACTAATATGCAATAAATTCAAGGTACATGGATAAACATGCACAGACTGGAATCACAGCTGATTCTATGATTATAATCTGAAAACCATAATTCATAAATAAAAAGTAAAAAAATCACAAAAACACCACCGATTTTTTATTTCGAATGAGACAGTTCAACAATTACAACCCAGAACTGGTAAAGCTGTTTTATTCTTGATGCTAAACTTGACCTTATGACCACATCTGACAACTTTCTAGCACTAGCTTCACTACCTATGAAATAGAGTTGAAAATGCACTTCCTCACAGAATTTTAAATAAAAGTTTTAACTATCTTCATAATAAAAGAAAACCAAAATAAGAACTCAATAACTATCAAATAAATGCAAAACAAACAAGTCAGTTCTATGAAAGAAAAAGGAACTTACTGCACTAAGAGACAGTGACAGTGTCTGCAGAATATCTAGCATAGTCTTCAACACAGTTCCACTCCACAGCAAGTGAGGAAATCTAGAGCAAGACAGGATTCAGAAACTCAATACTCATGAAGAGCTGAGGAAGGAAATTACTTTATTAAGCAATATAGCTGCTGAAAGAGCTATATAGATCTGTAGGTGAGTTTGTACAGAAGTCTCAAAGCTTGCCATTGCTCACAACAGCCTAGTTCAATATAGAGTGAAAATCTCTCTAAGAGCTATCTCATAGTTGAGATTGCATTTATTTCATGGGCACTTTGCTTTACTCCATCTGTGGCAATACTAAGCAGACACGGTCATTTAAGCAGGGGTTTTAGAGCCCAAGTTAAAAATACTATTGAATGTTAGTTTTCAAGGAGATGCTTCAGCAGATGTACCAGCCACAAAATCCATTTGACTGTCTTCATCAACTACATAAGTAATCAGTGATCTGTCAATGTGAAAAGGGAACAGGGAAATGAAATCTATACTCACTTGTCTACCAGACCAGATAAGTATTTGTCTGCAACTCTCCTGATCCTTTTGTGAATGTGGTTAAAATTCACCAGCAAGAACTGAGCATGTCTCTCCAGCTCTTCTTCGTTCTCCTTAGTTTTAGGCTAAAAAGCATGCCAAAGAGAAGCATGAAGCTTTTCAGGAAAAAAAAACAAGCATACTTTCATAAACTAAATGAGAACATTCACACAAATTCAAAATTTTAGTTTCCATGTAACCTACTTTATCAGCCATCATTGTCAGGAATGCTTCAAACACCTTATCAGCAACAGCTATCACACACTGCATCATGCCTGAGGAATTGAGAGAGGTGACAGGTTTGATTATCAGAATTACATTTGCTTTAATAAACCACGCTTAGCAGTTATAAAGCTTTTATGTTTACTCAGCCAACATAGAACCAAGCTGTTTCAAAACAAAACTGGTGCTCTTGGCAAGAACAAAGCAACAGCAGCCTAGTGAATATGAATCATTTTGTTATGTCATTGCTTTATTTGTTTTAGTTTTGCATGTCTGGAGATAATTTCCAAGTATCTCAAGCTGCAAGACAACCTGGACAGGTAATCTTACCAGATTTGTCTTTTTGAATTGCTTTATCCTCAAAATAGCAGAACATAACTTGGAAGCGATCTTGGTCAGTTGAACGCAACACCCTACAAAAAGAAGAGTTTTGTGGCTAGGACTGTTTTGGCATTTGCTGAATTTGCGTATGATGGAAATATCACATTCGCAGGAATACACTTTTAAAGGAAAAAAACACCAACAAAAAAACCCCACAACAAAACCCCAACAAACAGCCTGTGAATTCAGTATGTCTGACCAGCACAACCTAACACACAGCACCGAGGGGAGAAACGTACACTACCAATAAGATCCCAGCTCCTGCATTACACTGATCCCGCAGAACAGACAACTGTTCTTCAGAGGTGCAAGCACGAGAGTCTGCGCAGAGCAGACGTTACACTTGCAACACATTCCTCTGAAGAACTCATTTGTCCATCTTCTGTTAGTTTCTATACAGAGGAGATTCTGTTTTTCAGGCCTTCCTATATTATCCCATCCTTTTTAAATACCTCAAAGGCATTTTTGCATAGATGAATTCCCAGTCTTGGGATTTTGAACCAAAATACTGATTCTCATTTGTCTTAATGTCTGGCAATTCTGACTTGAATATACATAGCTGGCTTTTTTTTGTTGGCTGGTTTGGTTTTGGGCTGTTTTTTTTTAATTCATCAGTGGAAAAAGCATATCCATACCTCATATACTCTAGGCGGTAGACAGAAAGAAGATAGGTAGACATGGCAAAGTCTAACTTATTGATCAGCGCTGACACTTCTGGAGGGGGATCCAACAGATTTATTATGGTACTCCGCAACTCATTTAATTCAGCCTAGAGATGAATACAAGAAGTTATCTGAAGTGGAAGTACTGTATTAGTCAGGATTCTTCCAATACAGAATTAAACAGAAATAAATACTGGAGTTGAGCTCCCTGCTGAAATAACTGCTAGTTTCCATGCAGTCATACCAATGAACAAATACAATTCCTACACTGAAGGAATGTAAGGCTGATCAACATCAATACTGTCCAGTTTCTGAAACTTCATGGCTCTGTTGTGTAACTCTTTGATGTCACAGAACTAAGTATCCAGGCACAAGGCAGATTTCTGTATTATTTGGGAGCCAGACAAAGACATGTCATCAGCTAGAACTCTTCTACCCACTTTACTGCTACCACAAATAATCCTCTGACAAGATGTATCATGCAAACACTAGAGTGAAAAAAAATATACCAGGACCAAACCAGAGCATAAAAAGCGAAAAAGCTCACTTAATATTTCTCTGAAAGACTGAATACGTTGCTTCCTTCCGAAGCTTGCTGATTTCTTTTAAACAGTGCAAATTTTGACTGTCTGATACAAAACTGATGCAAAATTATTAAAAGGCTTCCATCTCTACAAAGACTTGGTTTCTACACCTAATCAAAACAGGGTAGCTACCACTCTGAACACTTGTATTAACAGTCAGTGAAACTAAACCCAAGCCAGTTACACATACACTGCTGTCATAAGAGTAAAAAAAAAAGCTGTTTTCCACTAATAGAAGGCATGCTGAAGGGGTAGTGTGCAATTTCAGTATATCATGGTTACCACATTGTTCAACATTGACAGACACTATGGAGGAGATAACAGAAGAAATTAATTCTTACAGAAGTTACAGTGTCATTCTTCATGGCAGAATTGTACTGAAGAACAGATCGAAGTGGTTCTTTGCTGGGAAACGTGAGTAATGGAGACTTGGTGGCAATTTCACATACACCTTCATACCATTCTTCTGGCCAAAGACCTGAAGCACAAGTATAAAGAGGAAGGTGGGGTAAGGGAGAAGAATAACATTGAGACCCACACAATCAACCAGCACTATCAAGTTTGGCACTACTTTTGGTCATTTTTTCATGCACTTAAGTACAAACACTCAATACACGTGATCCATGTTCCAGTGATAATAAACATATTTAGATAATTCCAAGTCAAGTTTCTCACTGGACAAGAAGTTTCTACTTCATTACCATTGTACCCTACGTGTCCAGTGCTCCATTTCATACTTAACTAAGGCTATTAACCTGTGGAAATAAATGAAGCACAAGTTGTACTGTGCTGAATCTCATAGCAAACCAGCAGAGATGTAAAGAAATCCAGTCAGAGAAGTGCCACGTTAGCTGTTCATTTTTTAGTGTCATTGTGCCTGTAGTTTTTCTTCAGCCTACTGTGACTGGTTTGCACAGAGTTAGATGCATACTTGTCAGGAGTTTAACTGTGAGGAGCAATGTTCTCTTAGAATTTACACTACCTGATCCTTCCACAGCAAATCCCATCAGCACTGAGTACAACCAGAAGTCACGGAACAGCTTTTGCAGCCTGGGTTTGGCCTCTTTGATGGGTGGCAAGCGTCTGGTGAGCTACCAAAGAAACAAAAATTAACATCAGAGAAGGGTGGGAGCTATAATAACTTAATTTCACTCTAAGGAATCAATTCATGCACCTCCGATTTACAAAGGTAATATTCTTTGGCACCTATGAAAAACAGTATTATAATGCTATTGTTATACTGAAGAAAGTTAGATCTTGTTACAATTATCTGAAATATTAACTTTTGAGATTGTTTTACACAGGAATAATACCATGCTGACACAGTAACCTCTGAGGAGAATACATAATATTAGTGTACTATCAACTGCAGAGATAAAGAGGCCACATGATCCTTTAAACTGTGTTGGAGACAATGCCATGCAGCTCTGCCTAAGTGCAAAGGAACTCAAACCTAAATAAATATTAGTCAAACATACTTCTGGTTGCTATTGTTTATTGGCTTTGTGGAAATACATTGAGGCACCAATTGGGGATCTTTTATTGTCTGCACCCACGCACACAATGACATCAGTTCTGAAGAATTTACTATCTAAACAAGCAAGTAAAAGAGCATTATTTTCAACACTTTTTCCTTAAAACTCTGATACTTTTTGCACAAACAGCTGCTTCCACTGCAGGAGCACAGCCTTCCCTCCCAGCCAACACGATATGCAATTTCAGATAAATTTATGTAACAAACATCATGGTGTGTTATCCTAAAAAGTGTTAGAAGTCCAAGCAGTGTTTAAAAAGTAAGAATAGCTCACTGAACAGCAAGCTTTATTCAATACGACTGTGTATTATTACTGTGAGCTTTATTAAGAAAATGTTAGATTCTAGTCTAGCTTAAAAAGTTTTCACCCAATGTACACTAATTCCCTTGGGGTATGAAAGCCAGCAGTATTTCAGCCAGCAGTATTTCAATGAAACCTTACATAAAGCCAACTTTGGGCGTATTTATAAATCATGAGGCAGATTGTTCATTTAAAAAGAAAAACATGAATAAATCCCTTTAATCCCTTTAAAAGCTGGTGAATGGCACCATGGTAAAAAGTTGCTTGTGCAACACAAATGTTTGCATCACTGTCGCACTGACTGAAGAAGCCTGACCATCACAACCAGAGGCCTCGTCCGTTTCTGCACTAAGATGCCCCCCCCCCCCATTTCAGCACAAAATAGCAGTGACATGGCTTTTACTGGTCAGCAACAGTCAAGTTTATGCGTGTGCTTGACTTTGAAACCTTACATACACGACAAGTTTTGCTCAAAGATCTTCCTCAGAAGTGAACAAGTACCTGCAAAGCCATAAAAGTAGTTCAACAAGCAACATACAATTCAGCAGAGATCACTAGGCAAGGGAGGGATTTTGGCTGACGAAGTAAGTTTAGCAGTGTTTGGTTTAGAGAATGTTTACTTTGGGAGATACACAAAAAACTAGCGTCAAAGTTCAGCTTTAAACCCTGACATTCCTCTTACTTGAGCTATTCAACACATCCTTCCCGTACAGTGGCTTAAAGGTAAGCTTCATTTTCATCTGCTGTTATTTTAGCTAGATCTGACCAAAGACACGTATACTGCAGAGCAGAGGCGAGCTTTGACTATCTTAGTGCAGCTAAGCAGGAACTGAACTTTGGTGAAGACGAGAATGCAAAGTTGGGAACTACAGAAAGCAAATTCCTCCATGCCAAAAGCAGAAAGCATTTAGCAGTGGTTACTGGACCGAGTACCTCAGCCCTAAGGGCCTGACTCCTGGGGGCGGGGAAAGAAAAAGTCATGAATTTGTGAAGAAACAGTAAGAAAAAGGCTGACTTGAGTCATTTCACAGGGTAAAACCATTTAAAGAGCACCTTCTATGGATCCTTCAGTGCTGCAAAACAATGTGATTTTGTTAATATGGGATAATCCCCTTAAATTGTTTCAGGATTTCAGGCAAATGAGTCTGGGGGGAGAATCTTAAATATTCACCTGTTAGCTCAGTTACTTCAGTCCTGCTACAACGTGCTTGAAAATGTTTTCTTTCAAGCACTGGGTTTACTCCCTGAGGTACAGGTATGTATACCCATTTATTTCACTTCTATAGAACAGCTCTTTGGACTATTTCCTAATTTAAAAAGCATTTTAATCAACACCTTGTAAGATTTTTGTTTCATTTCTATTCAACGTTTTGCTCTAATTTATATTGTAAATAACTGCCTTTTTATTCCAAAAAGTACTATTAACAGAAATTTATAAAGTCTTATTTTCTAAAGAAGTTTGAGCAGAAGCCAAGTCCCTGGCATTTCAGTTTCAGATGATACAGAGTTACTGAATACTGACATTTTGGTCTTTATTTGACTGTCACAGAAAGGAATTACACTTTTCATATCTTTTTAAGATCACTGTTATTACTGCAACCCAATATTATAGTGAAAAGTCTCTCAGACCCACTTCTTGGAACAGTGCTTTACAGCTGAGTAAGATCGATTCATTCTCTTCAAACTACAAATATCTTAGATAATTCTTGATTTTAAAACTATCTTTAAAAATGTAATGGTCCAATACTCAGTAGATAAAAAAAGAGATTAACTTTTCCTTTAATGGAGGTTCTACTTAAATACATTCTCAGGTGAGGTTAGAAATTTGCCATTGGGATAACACCAAATGTAGAGAAACAAAGCTCTGATTAGGAACTTACACAGACTTCACAGAATGAAGCAAGCAGAGAGCACTACGTGCTGTGCAGTGCTACAGAAAAGCAAACTGACACAAAACAGAATAAAAAAATCAGAATCAAGCCAATTTCTCATAAAAGCAGCAGATGAGTGCACACAGCTGCAGAAAGCATGCACAGACACCAAGTTTACACATCCGAATTACACCATGAGTAGGCCAGGATACGTGTTTATGCCTTAACACTTCCCACAGTGCAGTCCCACTAACGGTGTTTAGTGCAAATACCCATCTTGCTTCAGGTTTAGTGTTATTTCCCTAGATCTCCCTTATTCTAGCAAATTTCAGCCTTGCTCTTCCAAAAGTACTCCCATAAAACTCCTATTTTTGTTGTAGCTACAGGATGTCTGTTTTTCTAACTCTTCAGGACATCTCAGCCTTCTGGTATGCTCCTGTGGCGGATGCCTAGTCCCTCCTATCAAGCTGGAATCTTCAAACTTAATGTCGTATTCTTAGCATACACTAGTAACACAGTAAATATTTCAAGTGTTATGGGGTTATAAATAAAGAGTCCCACATATTTTAGGTAATGAGTTTGTTACTGCTGAAACATGCCCATAACAACTACTTGTATGGGAGGAGGTCAACCAATTCTTTGGCAGGATGGAGGCATCATGTAAGCAAAACTGCTTTTACTGACTGATCTGTAAGTAAAACAGATTTAACCACCTATTTAGATCTGTTCCATTAAAAAAATGCTGTCAAATAAGGTAACTATAGACCCACTGCTGACAGAGCTCAGCAGGGAACTAAAGTTAGGCAATAGGTAACTAAAACTCAATTACCCTCTGCTCTCTCAACTGTTACGTTGTCTTCCAGGTTTTGATCTGTCAGAATGAAGTTTCTATTTCATTTGCTTGCCCTTGCTCTTGTCATAACCTCCACATTTGGTGGAGTCAAGGACTTCACTCAGCATTTTGAAAGCCTTAAAGATGCACAGCCACATGAAAATGGCACCTATGATATGCCAAATTTACCACTGGAGTTCCACAGAGAAAACACTATCACTAATGACTTGATTCCTGAAGAGGAGGAGGAAGAGGACTACCTAGATCTTGACAAGATACTGGGTGAAGACGACTACAGTGACATTATTGATGCTGCCCCATACATAGTTTCTGAAATTCAGCAAGGAAATATACTTGAACTATTCCAAGGCAAAACCAGAATCCAGCGCCTCAATATCCTCAATGCAAACTTTGGCTTCAACCTTTACCGCAGCGTGGCAGAAAAGACCAACTCTTCAGATAATATTCTCATGGCTCCTGTTGGTATTTCCACTGCAATGGCTATGATTTCTCTGGGTCTGAAGGGTAAAACTCAGCAGGAAGTATTATCTGTCCTTGGCTTTCAGGACTTCATTAATGCCAGCACCAAATACGAGCTCATGACCGTTCATAACCTCTTCCGCAAGCTTACTCATCGGCTCTTCAGGCGCAACTTTGGTTACACACTGAGGTCTGTCAATGATCTTTATATTCAGAAGGACTTTTCTATTCTGAATGATTTCAGAAACAATACAAAAACATACTATTTTGCTGATGCTCAACCAGCTGATTTTTCAGATCCCAGCTTCATAACTAAAACCAATGAACGCATCTTGAAGCTGACCAAAGGATTAATAAAAGAAGCTCTTGTGAATGTAAACCCTACAACATTGATGATGATTCTTAACTGTCTCTACTTTAAAGGTAAGAATCTGCTATCTCAATCTTAGCAATGGATTTTCTCAGTTTGCAATTCACTGCATACTTCGGTAGAAATCCCAATCTGAACTTAAATCTAGACTACACTTCAAAGAAGCCTACCGATTCCCTCATTAAAAAGAATCTCTATTATTAGCCCACTTTTACAGTTTTCTGTAGGACACTGATGTTCCAGTCACACCCTGAAGTTAGTGGGTATTGTACAAGTACAGCAAATGCTTATCACATCCAAAAATCTTATAGACTGTAAGTGAGACTAAAAAACAACATATGAATGCAGAATAACCTCAGAAATCATAAGCTTTGTAGGAGTCTCAGGCAGTGATGTATTAATTCATGTGCAAGTTATTAATCACATTCAGTCCTTCTTCAAGTTATTGGCTTCACTGAAATGGTACAGGTTGATTTCAGTTAAAACATTTAACATTTCCAAAATATTCAAGATTCATAGGAATGACCATGAAAAAATTCAGCTTCAAGTATGGTTTTTTTTCATATAATCAGATCACGATCCCTGTCAACAAGCCTGCACAGGGGACTGAGGAGTATAACCAAAACAGTGTTCTCCTACAGCTAAAACCAAACACATTCACTACTCAGAATAATTCAGCATAAACTGTCTGCTGATATGGGCTCCTACATGTATCCCTGAACAGCTTGAAGTAAATACATTCTTACTATACACCCTTATTTTCTATTTCTGTACATTTAAACTAAGGGTCTGTGGTGAAATTTTCAACACTGCTCTTCTGCCTCAGGTTGAAAGTCTGTGGATCTTTCAATAAACTTTGAAAATGTTATTAAATGAGCCAGGGGTGGGAGGTGCCAATGCAACAGGAACTGAGGAAGAAGAGGAAATTCTCTTACTGACTAAGACAATAATCAGATCAAAGTGACTTAAAACACTGGTAAAGAAGGACAGATTAGCACAAAAGGATAACAGTGTTTGGGAGTACAACATACTCCTTTCCACAGATGATGAAGGAGTTTCTTTTTGTCAATTACATCCCGCTTCCAGGAA